AAATTTCCGTACCTAGCATTTAATGTATGAAACGCATATTCAAAATGACATCGTCATATAATTTCATTAAAAAATAAATTTGTGAAAGGCGGTGGATCGTAGAAGTAACGGCGTAGATATATCACGATCATCTTTTATTTGGTTTGTTTCACAAAGTTGACATATCCTTTAGTTACTTTCAATTGCTCCTCTACTTACTTCAATGCGAAGACAGTGTGCCGAGCAGCGAAAGCGTGATAGAGCAGTTTTGCGTGAAATAACAGTTATGGAAGTGATATATTTCTCTAATATTAGATTTGTTTTAAATTCACGATATGTATCTAATTTAGTCATGGTACAAATATTGTTGTGGACGGATAAAGTCCAGCACAGGTCCTTTCCCTTATTAACACACAGCAAGACAATCTCAGTATGCGAAGTCAGTCAAAATGAAGGACTACTCCGTTTATTAAGAAACTGGATGAACGTTGTGTACAAGACAAAACTAACAAGGCTAACAAGTGAAACGTGCTTTCGGTCGGACGCGTGTTTTTGCGTGAATCGCGCGTGATCGTTGAGATTACTTCTCCTACGTTCGCAATGGGTCCGACTTTTAAAATGGTCAATCTGGTAAGATTGTGTTTGTTTCTAAACTTGTAATGCTTATAACTCAGCGACTAAAGGCCGGATCGTAATCAGAGAAACATGTATAAGTAACTATAAACACGAACTAGAACATGAAAACATTTGTATAAACATCGATCAATAATTGCACAATAAATGGGAATTTTCGATCTCCGCGCGACAAATATCACTAAACCACTCACTGTACAAATTATTTTTAAATCTTTCTCAAAAAATTTCCAAGAATAAATTGATATTACCAACTTCTTGGGAATATCAAAAATGGTCAAGATTGCATCAAAAAACTTCTGTAACCCACGTACTTTTTGATCGTACTCCAGATTCTTCTATGGTATACAACATTTCATAACATTTACGTGGGTATATATTTTTGGCCATATTAATAATTTTAGCCCAGTACTTCAAACAATGTTTGGCTGTATAAAACCGGATTGGGTATCTGACACATTCCCCCAAGACACTCTCTATTTGATACACCAAAGAAATGCCTACAAAATAAATACTGAACTCTTTCAAGACAGTCATATTTGTTGAACTAACAGATTTCTGATCCATATATCAGTATTGGCAATACCACGGAATCAAATATTCTAAAATATAATATTCTAGTAAGTATTTATTTAGTAAGTATATCTAGTAGTAAGAATCTACTTCTACGTGTTTACCGTCGTAAAGCAATGCTCTTAGGGCGTTTAATAGTCGCTGGAGCCCCATAACAGTGTCTGAAAAGATGGCAACAAAATCGAACATCGTCTGCAAATAGCCAAAAAAATAGTTCCACCAAATCTGGGTACAGTATAACACCATGCTGTTCAGTTTGTTCAAGTTCCCCTTAGTCATGTCACATGATGTATTTTCAATAATCGTATTTAAATTTGTTGTGGTGCTATCTGCTTCTAAATAATTCATGAAAGAATTTGCATGGTCATGTGACCATATGAACTTTGTATCCGTACTAGTATTGATCTCCCCAGTTTCATTTTGGTGGGAGCCTAACACAGACGCCATGCTAAAAAATAACGGCAAATGGTCTGATTCAGTACGGGTCATGACCGAGAAATTTGTTATGTTGGGAAAGAGTGCAGAGGATATTATCACATAATCGACCGAAAGTATTACTTGTGCGAGGAGCAATAAAGTTGTCCTCATTGTAGCCTTGAAAATTATTTACAACATAAGTGACGTCATCATTTAAGATATAATCTAGTTCGTCACGAGTGCAGGCATTAAAATCTGCCGTTAAAATTATATTCATATCACCAAATATTGATAATATTCTTAACACTTCATTTTCTAACAGATCAATGCCATTTTGCGCATCAAGTCTATCGTATATTGTGGCATGTTGTGGTGAGATATATACAAATTGAACAGTCATTAATCATAACTATCTTAGAACTTAATTTTGAACAACAGTATCGCAATAAAAACAACACTGCAAGGAAGCTAGTCTCTCAGCGTCTATTCGTTTTGACGACTTAGTTGGTTTCTGCATTTCGATACAGTGCATTTATTTTACTGTGAATAGACCCCCCCCCCCCGATCAAGGAAAAAGTCCTCTATAATCGGCAAACCCGCAAAGCAAAGCCACACTTGTATAACTATTAAGTTGTGTTGAACCTATTTAGTCAATATTTTGGCCACATTTTCCTGCAAATGGAGGTAAAACTCACGGGTGGCGGCATTGTTTTGGTTCCAGCGTTGGATTCCGTCACGGGTCAATCCAGACAAATAAGGTCAGACAAACCGGATGTTGCCGGTCGCGTGAGGAATGTGAAGGGAGCGAATTTCACGTACGAAACGGAAATTATTAACCCTTTCCGTCTGGAGTTTGACGCAACCAGTCATAGCTTTTAGGCCATTGATTTATCGATTTCAGTCTTCCTTCTCTTTGAATCTTTCACTAGTCTGGCCTGGCACATTGTTGTCGTTTCTTCTGAATCAGACTTCATGAAAATATGGGACAGCATCGAGCATTGGTTTTCTTGAGACGACATCTTGCAATATAATACCACGATACGGTGAAATTTATATTATTCATTTTCAGACTGGTGTATTTCTAGTGGTCAAAACGCTTCACTTCCACTCGGAACTAGAACATGTCACATGGAAGTGTAGGGCGGGTCTTTTGCCAAGTAAAATAAAATACTTATCTGCCCTTACAATAATAGTCGTTAGTCGTCATTTCACAGCTAATTTACACGTATGTTTTATATGCAAGAGACAGGATATGACAAATACATGACGCTAGTTAAAACTAGACAAGTAGTTGTAACAAAGTAAATGCTTCTCGTCACTTAGTAGTCTATAAATCGCAGACA